GTTCGGCGTCCAGGGGGCCGTCGCTGGGGCGCGAGACCCTCAAACACCCGCGCGCGGCGGCGGCGCCGCCGCCCTCGTCCCCGCCGTCGTCGTCCCCCCCCCTCCTCGGATGGGAGGGAGGGAGATGGCCAGGAGAGGCGGGGGCGGACTATGGCAGTGTCGTGTAGACGTGCTCACGCTGCCATCTCGAGGGCCAGTGGGGGCCGAGGAGGGGGGAGGCGCTCAAGCCTCAGCTTGAGCGAGGCGGGGGAGGAGGGAGGCAGTGGGGGAGGAGGGGGAGGGGTGACATGCCCGGCTGTCGCCATCATCTCAGACCAATGTCACGCGGGCCCTCGCCCTGCCTTTCACCTCCTCGCCCTCGAAGGAGCAGCTCTCTTGTCGGGTGTGATGCGGACGTCATAGCTCTGCCTTGAACGGTAGTAGATATATGCGCTCTCGTTACCTATAGAGAGAAGGGGAGAGAGGAGCAGGGGGGAGGAGGGGGGGAGGAAGAGGGAGGGGGCAGGATGAGCGGCCTAAAGGATGGAATCGAGAGTCCCAGTTCCAATGTCGCGAACAGAAGTCATTGCTTCGGAAGTCTTGGGAGAAATCATCCAGGATAAGGCCCTCGCCGTGTCAGGATCGGCTCCCGAACGGCCCATCGACTTGGATCAGAGGGGGCTCGTCGGATGGGTGCTCGGGGGCCCAAGGATTTGGGCCGTCGGTGGTAGTGGCACGGCTCGCGCGTGATTGTCTGGGTACTGCCAGCTGGTTCACCTGGAAGCTGGTTGCACGTGACGTGGCGGGGCGGCGGGCCTGGGCGAGAGCCAGATCCGCACGGGGCCGCACGTAACTTTCCAACGCTCGGCCCCCACACGGCCCGCCCTCCACATGTGCGCACACGGCTTGGTCTCCGTGTGTTCCGCGTGTGAGCCCAGCCGTCTTTGAGGTTTCCGAAGGCCCCTGGAGGTCTACAGAGGCCCCCATGAGGTCTCTGGAGGCCCTGCAGAGGACTGGCGGAGGCCCGCACAGACACTCAAGCAAGAGCCCCTCAACGAACGTCTTTTCAACCAGCCCGACGACCATCGGCAGCACGCGCACGAACACCAGCAGCCTGCCGAGCCCTGGGCGCTGTGGGCGCCGCAGCGCCCCCCGCGGAAGCAGGCCGTGCGCCCAGCCATCCTCCAGCGCATCGCTGTCCGAGGCGGCGCCCACAGCGGCGGCCCCACCTCCCGCGGCAGCCGTCGCGCTCCCGCGCTTCTCCGGCGGAGCCCATCGAGGGTCGCCCTCTGCTCCGTGCGCGGCAGCCTGCCGCTCCGCCAGTCGCCGCCTGCTTTGAGCGGCGCCGGAGCAGCTCTGTGTCGTAGCCGGCGAACACCCGTACAGCACCCATGTTTCTGTCATCGGCGACGTCTGCCCCAGGGCGGCTGGGAAGCTTCTATCCCGCCGTGCCGCCGTGGGTGTTCGTGAGCAAGACACTGTCCGTATTGGCGGCCTCGCGTGCCAGGCCCTTGGGCCGCGACCCCGCGGATGCGGCGCGTGTTCTCGCGGATGCCCCGCGCGGAACAGATCCGTGCGACCGCGTATCCGCTGGATGGCGCCCTGGATTCCAGGCCGCGAGGGCGCGGATACGGATGTGTTCGCCGCTCGTGCGGTGTACAAGCTTTCCAGCCGTCCGGGGACGGATGTCCCCGATGGCGGAAACGTGAATGTTGTACCTATCGGACGACACCGTCAGAGTCGCGGTAGCAGGTGCGGCCTTCCCAGCCGCTCCATCCGCACGCGGCTCGAGCGCCTCGGCTGGTTTGAGCAGGCTGGCCGAGATCACCGCGCGAGCCACAGCAGCAACGGTGCGGCGAAGCGCGCGCCCATCGACGGCGCCGCGAACCGCCGCCTCGACGAGTGAAGCGGCGGCCACATTCAGCGCACACGCCTCTGCAGGCCACGCCACCGCGCGCCACCGCCGAGGGACGCCGCAAGCAAAGCCGTGCGATCGATTGAGCCAAAATGATTGTGACGATGGTGATTATTGTGCGGATGGTAATCATGGTCCTGATGGTGATGATGGTGATGACGGTGAAGGTGATGGTGATGGTGATGGTCATGATAGTGATGAGCTTGACGATGTTAAACATGATCGTGAGGTGGTGAAGGAGGAGGAGGAGAAACTCCCGTGTAAACCCAATAGCCATTAACGGTGTTGCTGTACACCCTCCCTCCAAGCTCCCTCTTCATAGGTCCCTCGAAAAAATCATGTCCACTGACGGAAGTGTCCTGTTGGGAGACAACCGTTTGAACATTCTGAACCGTGACAGTGCACCATGCTCTTGGGACTTCAACGCCACGAATCAACCTTACAGTTGCATCTTGACGACCCTGAATCGTGCAAAAACGCCATTCCTGGGACTTCAAAACTGCGAACCAGCGTAAGTGTTGCGCCCTGACGATCCTACATCGTTCCAGAACACCACGTCTCGTGGGTTAGCCATGAGATTCGGTAGAACTTGCGTTGTATGTTTTTCAACGAAGATGTGCGGCGCTAACGCGAGAGCCACATTTTGAACATGAGCGAGCCGCCCTCCATCCGTGAAGCTCTTGCAGCTGTTTATGACGAATGTGTGCGGCGCTGAGACGAAAGACGCATTTAAAAAACGACCTGTCCTCAACATGTGAAGCTGTTGCATTGCAGCGAGCGTGCGTAGCGCTAAGGCAAGAGCCAGCGAAACGCCCCGCCCGCCCGTCCGACCGGCCTCGGTGCGCGACAGGGAGGAGCTATCGCGAAGGTCTTACGACTGGTGCCGCCGACCCTGAAGACGACGAAGATGAAAACTAGCAGGCGAGGGGTAGGAGGCGGAGGAGGAGGAGGAGGAGGAGTGAGGGGGGAAGAGGAAGGGTGGAGGAGGCGGATGAGGGAGGAGGAGAGGGGGGGAAGGATGAGGAGGAGGAGCAGGAGGAGAAGGAGAAGGAGGAGGAGGAGGAAGAGAAAGATGCAGAGGAGGAGCAGGAGGAGGAGGAGGAGGAGGAGGAGGAGGAGGAGGAGGAGGAGCGGGGGAGCAGGAGCGGGGCAGCAGCGAGGGGGAGGGAATAGGAGCAACCAAGGAGGGTGGTATTGTGACCCGGCTTGGGCCGTCTAGGGGCGCTTTTGCTGATCCGTCGTGGCGACCCCCACCTCCTCCAGCGCATCTACAGAGGGCCCCTCTGTAAAAGCCGCAAGCGGGGGATGGTTTTCTGACCCGGGACCCCCCCAGGGACCTCCCCCGCGACCCTCCCCCCCCCCCCCCCCCCTGCGGGGAAGGGATCGAAAGGAAGGGGCTTCCCTTCGACTCAATGACAACGTTGTTAATTTCGCTTTGGCTGGGTTGCTTCATGTCGCTTTGGCTGGCGCGCTTGGAGACGAGGGCCCAGGGAAAGAGGGGGAGCAGCGACGGACCCAGAAAAGAAGACGACGAGGACGCACGAGGACAACAACCACGACGAACAACCCATTCCACACGCCGACAGGTTCGGCGGACTTATGGGGAGAAGGCAGGAGGAGTCTCCCGCTGTCCCCCGTCGTTCCCCTCGCACTCCAGTCTGACGCCCTCTCTGGTGGCAGAGCGCCGCCAGGGGGGGGGGGGACGGCAGCGTCAGTCAGACAGACTCCGTTGCCATCAGAGTCCAGAGTCGAGGAGGAGGAGGAGGAGGGGGAGGAGTAGGAGGAGTAGGAGGAGGAGGAGGAGGAGGAGGAGGAGGAGGAGGGGGGGAGGACGCGTTTGCTTCTCGCCCATTGCGTCGAGCACTTGAGTCTGACCTTGGCACGCCCAGACGTTCTTCACGTTCTTAGGGCGCTCTGGCCTTCTCGCGGCCATCCCCTGCTTTCCCTTCTGCTTTCTCCTCCCACAGTGCCCAAGTCGCTTCCGACGCGCCCCGCCGATAGTCGACAGCCTGCTGGATCCCGCTGGAAACAAGTGTGTGTGTGTGTGTGCTTGTGTGTGTTTGTGTGTGTGTGTGTGTGTGTGTGTGTGTGTGTGTGTGTGCGCGTGCGCGTGCGCGTGCGCGTGCGCGTGCGCGTTTGGCGTGCGTGCGTGTGAGTGTGCGTGTGCGTGTGCGGGTGCGTGTGCGTGTGCGTGTGCGTGTGCGTGTGTGTGTGTGTGTCTCTGTGTGTGCGCGCGTGTGTGTGTGTGCGTGTGTATTCGCCCCCCCCCCCCCTGGACGACGCAACAACGCACTTGCGGCTATCGAAGATAGCGTCGCCGTCTTCAGCCTTGGCGCCACATCCCTTCACCACGCCCCTTTACGACCTCAGACCCCGCTGCCATCAGAGTCAAGAGTCCAGGAGGAGGAGGATGAGGAAGAGTTTAAACCCTCGTGTGCGCGCGCATGCGTGGGTGCCTCTGGTCTCGGCACCCCGAGCGAGCGCGCTAGCGGCGCGCCCGTCGCGGGGTGGGCCAGCGGCCTCAGCACATGCCGCCTCTGCCTCCTCCCGTCGCCGCCGACTCCACGAGTCGCGGCTCCCATCAGGCGGCGGCAGGCTCGACGATGTTGCCGCCGCGAGCTTAGAGCTCAAGGAGCAGCCTGATGGAGGGTTTCTGCCGCTCCTCTGCCCTTCTCGCCTCCAGGGACCGCTCTGGCTGCGGTGCCCTGGGCCCCTAGGGCCTCTCGAGCTCGGGCGCTGGCGTTGCCGTGCGCAGCTCGGCGGGGCTGCTGGTGGCCCTGGCCTCTGGGCTCCTCCTCGGCTGTCTGGCTGAAGCCCTGCTTGGCACTCGCACTGCTGCTTGCGGTCGCGGGCTGCGGCTCCTCGCCGCTGGCTCAGTCACGCCCAGGAACTGCTCAGCCATCGCTCTGCGCCGCTCTGCCTCCTGCGGGTCCTGCTGCTGGATCTGTCTGCGCGCCTCTCCGCTGTTGAGCCATGCCAGGCGGCAGATCTCCTCCGCCGCTCGGCGCTGGCTGCGCTGGCGGCTCGGCCCTGGCACGTTGCTGAACAGCCTCTGGTAGACGCCAGTCTGCAGCGCCATCAGCACATGGGGCACGCACGCGGCCTGCTACGATGGCCAGCCCTGCTCGCCCTCTTTCTGGATCCAGCAGCCTGCCAGCGACTGCATGAGCTGCTCAAGCCTGTTCCTCTCGAGCCACGCCACCTCCTGCTCGGGGTCCTGGTCAGCATCTCCGTTGTTCTGTCGAAGCCTTGGGTGGAGCAGGCCGGCCTCATCGGCTTCGCTCACGAACTTCATCAGGTCGGGCCCCACTGGCTTGGTCAGCGTAAATGCCACCTGCACGGCCGTCTGCATCAGGCTGTTGGCGTCGCGACTCTGATCGGGTCCTGCCATGGTCTCCATCTCCTGGTCGCTCGGCTCGCCCTCCAGCTCTGGGGCTTCACTGTCTGGGATCGAGTCATCATCGTCCAAGTTCTCAGGTGACCACTCTCGGCTGGCCTCCGCTGTTCTCGGCAGCGGCCTGCGCTCGCTGCTGGGGATGCTGTGCGCCAGGATGTTGTTCCTTCTGTTCTGGAAGGCGTCCATGTGCACTCTTGCTGCCTGCTGCCTTGTACCATGCGGGAGGGTAAGCATCCTGGTCATGAGCCTCCGTCGCGTGCGGTGCGTGTTGCGCCAGACGTCTTCGCAGAAGTCCTTGATCTGCTGAAGCTCCTGCGCGGTGACGTCCCTGGTCTGCTCTTGCGTGTCCGTACGGTACGCAGTGCTCCATCCAGTCGTCCATGTCGTCCCAGACCTCTTGGTCGAACATGTTCATCCACTGCTCCGCGTAGCCCTCCATGTGGTCCACGAGCCTCCAGCTGGCTTGGACGACAGAGTGCGGATGGCTGGGTGGCTGCTGTGGAGCTGGCTGCGGGTCCCCTGCCTCTGAGTTGTCCCCGTCCAGGTCGATCGCCTCGTAGTTACTCAGGCCGAGCTTGAAATCACCAGGCATGGTGATCTCGTTGAGACCCTCATCAGCTGGGTCTGTTGTTGGCTTAGCTCCTCTTGGCAGCTTGCCCTCTGCATGTCCGCCAAGACCCGACGCCCTGCTGCTGTTGGGGGCTGACATGGCCTGGCCAGCTTCCTTGCCACTCCAGCCACGATCCTGCTCTTGTGGTCCCCGAGGTAGCTGGTGCCGCCACATTTCTCGCACCAGAGCCAGCCATGGGAGATCTGCGTCTTGTGGGAGAAGTGCACCACCTGCGTGCCGATCTGCACCGCCTTGAAGTCGAGCCTGACGTTGCCGTGCTGGTCCTGGTGGCCGCCGTACTGCCCGAGGCATTCTCCCGTCTCTGCCAGCCAGTCTCTGATGCTTTGTCCTTTGGCTGGGCCACTGCGACACGTTGCACACCACCATCGCGGATGTAGCTTGCGCAGGTCGTGTCCCAGCTGGGCTGCCCTGTCCCTCGCCGTCTGCGGATTTCGGCGCTTGGCCTTGGGACGCTGAGGGGCCTTGTTGAGGTCCTCCACCGTCACCGCCATGTTGATGGCCAGCAGCCGGTTTTGCACCGCCGTGGTGAGCTGGTCCCTGATCTGCTGCTGCGCGATGATGGCTGGCTCCAGTGCTCCATGCTCCGCTCCCCAGCCTGCGTACTTGTCTGCCATCTCGTTTCCTATGACCCACCAGGTGGGACCATTCCACCTCTCCAGCTCGGCCGGGTGCTCGATCAGGTGGCTTGCGATGTGGTGGCCCATGATGGTGTCCGTGCTGTTCTGCAGCTGCTGCTTCGTCTGGAGCCAGAGGTCGTAGTTCGTGCTCCTGTAGTCCAGGTCCTCGGGATCCTGGATCTGCTTGAGTGCGTCCAGGGCGTACTTGCAATCGCTGACTATGTTGAGCCCCCTGACTGTCGCCGCCGTGGTGTACCCGATGGCTTTGCTCATAGCGGTGAGCTCTGCCCGTGGCACCGTGTGCGGCGCCCTGATCGTGCCGTACCAGGCGGCCACTCCTTGCGGGCGTCCGTGCTCGTCGAACCTGAAGGCCACCACTGCCCAGCCGCAGCGTCTGAGGCGGGGGTCCTTGGCCGTTGCCCCTGCACCGCCTGAGCCGTCCGTGAAGACATAGTCTGCTCGAACCTTGTGCCCTGACTGGGCTGCCGCCTGAGCCTCTTCGCTGGTGCAGAAGATCTGCGCCGCCTTCGCCGCGTCCTCGTCTGGGTCGACCTTGGCTGCCCAGGCCGCTGGCGGGATGCCGCGGAGCCAGAAGTGCGGGCCTGCCGCTGGTCCAGCGCGTCCTTCGCCTTATCCGCCAGGTCGGTGTCATTGCTGTGCCCTATCTCTGCGTTGGCAGGGCAGGCGTAGTAGCGGTGTTCCTCTGTCTCTATCGCCTCGCCGCATCTCGCGCAGGTGTCGCCGCCTTCTTGTCTGAGGTTGGCCGCCCTGCGACGCTCCCTGGTCCAGATGCCCGCCACCGCTATGGTCTCCAGCATGGCTGCCTCTGTATGCTGTCATTTGCGCCTCCTCCTCCTCAGGTGGCGCTGCAGCTGATAGAGGTCGCCACCTGCCTGAAGTCCTTCTCCCCAGCGATGGTCAGCAGCCTGCTGCCGGAGCTGCTGCTGCGCGCTCTGCTGGACTTCGTGCAGGAGCGCGCCGAAGTGAGGAATGTCATCTGGCTTGTAGGCCCACTCGTCACCTGCTGGGCTGATCCAGCTGTCCAGGCGTCGCGGTATCCAGCCTAACCCAAGCAGCTGCACGATCACCCCTGCCATGGGCCCCTTGACCTGCTGCCACCTGCGGTTGGGTTCCAGGGCGTCCAGCTTGGCGTAGAGCAGGAGCCAGCCTCTCTGGTACCTCTTGAGCTCCGTCGGGTGGTCGACTATGGTGAGCCAGAACTGCTTGATCTGGTCGCCGATGGCTCGGGTTACCGCCTCTTGCATTCCCCTCTGGATCATGAGGATGGTGGACGTGCAGCGTCCAGCCTTGTGTCCGCCTGTGAGGAGCGCTGCCTCCGTGGCCCTGACCGACTTCGCCTCCGTGGGCGTGATGCCGTGCGCTGGTAAGTCCCAGGCCTGCTGGCAGTAGGCCCCTGCTGAATAGACCTTTGCCGCGCCTCTGGCGTCCGTCTTCGCTAGGTCCTTGAGCTTGGCCACCCACTTCTTCCCCTTTGCCTGGCGCGCGGCATGGGTGGGTCGCCGCAGCTGCTTGCCGAGGCAGGTGTCCACGCCGAGGTCGCGCACTACACCTGGTTGCTTGTTGGGAGTGCCCAGGCTGTCCAGGATGCTGGCGACTTCCGCCTGGAGGTCCTTGTCCGAGGCCACCACTGCCGTCTTGACGGAGATGGGTATCGAGAGCTGCTTGAATCCATCGTGCACCAGCGCTGCCACGTACTTGATCTGGGCAATGACCTGCCGCCGCGCACCCTCTACCTGCAGGGCCAGGTCGTCCAGGTACTGCTGCATGACGACGAAGATGTAGTGCCTGTGCGCCGCATCCAGGATGCCATACAAGAGCGGTCTGGTGAGGTCGACCGCTTGGCCACAGCCGGCTACCATGCTGTTGGCAGGCTCGAAGATGTCCGAGAAGAGGTTGTGGGCCATGATGGCCCTGGGCGCAAGGTACATCTGCACGGCCATTGCCAGCGGCAGCAACGGGCACTGGAGGGCGCTGGCCTTCCCGATCAGCTGGTCGAGGCCTATGTCGTCGTAGAAGTTTGCCGCGTCGTAGAAGACTCCTGCTGCATGAAAGCCCATCTCCGTGGCGGCTTCTGCCCTCATCAGTCTGTGCGTTGCCACTCGTAGCGCTGAGGAGCCAGCTACTGCCGTGTCCCAGAAGCCCGCCGCTGCCTTGCTCCAGGTGGCTACTATGGGCCTCCTGGCTGCGCTCCAGATGCGGCACGGCATGGGCATGAGGCCGATGGGGCGCTCGCCGCCGATTCCTGGCTTCTTGCCCAGCAGCAGCTCCAGCACCAAGTAGAATTGCCACGGCCACGCTGCCCGTTGCTCACAGCTGGTCAGGCACTGCACGAAGTCTTCCAGCCCCTGGGCGCCCATGGCCTTGAGCTCAGGAGCCCTCCACCAGTCCGCTCCTTAGCCAGCATTGCGCTTCAGGTGCTGGGTGATGGAGCCGATGATGTCCTTGCTGATGGGCTCGAGGGCATTCTCTTGGGCCAAGGCAGCCTGCCTCAGCTTGGCCAGCGCCTCGTGGATCCTCTCGGCCTTCTGTGCATCTCGTGTCCACCTGCGTTGCCATGCCTCTTTGCGCAAGTCCACCAGCTGCTGCGGGTGGTTGATGACCTGGCCCTCGTGCTCAAGGATGTCCTCCAGGTGGCTGCGCCCCGCTGCCTTGGTGTAGGCGTGGGCCATCTTCGCACTGCCTGCCGTGGCGTCGTGCACCCAGTGGATGTACGCCTTCTTCACCGCCTTTGTGAGTAGCTTGGCCATGCTCTTTACCTCCCCTGCTACCCTACTGATCGTCCCTGGGTCCACTAGCGCGCCCTCTGCTATCGAGTGCAGGTCTGTGAGGAGGGCCTGCTGCTGGTCCTTGGCTGCACCTTCTTCGTTCAGCCTGCCTGGGTCAGGCTGGTTGAGCTGCTGTGCGAGCTGCCGTCTTGCGTTGATCTGTTGCTGCGTCTGGTGGCCGCTGTGGGTGCGGACCTGCAGCTCTCGGCGGCTACTCGGGCCACTGCCTGCTCCTGGAGCGTCATGAAGTTGTCCTCGAGCTGCTCCTTCTGGTGCTCGTTCGCCAATAACTTCTCGCATCAGCCTCCGCAGGTCAGCAAGCTCCCTCCAACGCATCATCTCCAACTCGTGCCTCCTCATCGGCTCCTCTCGCGCAAGACCTTGGAGAAAGCCTCGGCGTCGTGGTTCTGCATGTCTCCATGCTCGCTCGCAGAGGTCCCTGGTGATGTGGCTGAGGCCGGCCTGCTGGTACCAACGCCTGAGCAGTCTCAACATGCCATTGTTGCCTCCACCACCCAAGATGGTCTCCAGGAACGGCACGCAGATCTGCATCCAGTTGCTGTTGTCCGTGGGGGGCTGCACCAGGTTATCCATCCAGATGGCCGCCCAGCGCTCCAAGTCGTCTCTCATGGCCACGTAGTCTTCCCGCTCCCGCTGGTACTGGTCATCATTCCAGAGGTCTGGTGGGGGCAGGCCCATATCACGTGGCTCCTCTGCCTCTGGGCCTGGCGGCGCTTGGCTCTGACCCCCCAGGTGATCGGTACCCTCTGCCTCCAGAGTGCCAGCTGGCTGAGGAGGTGAGCAGTGCGTGTCACCTGGGGCAGTATTACCAGATCCAGCTGCATGGCGACGAACGGTCTGGCCGTAATCGATGCTGTCCTGCTGCCCCTCGGTGTGCTGGCGGTGCCCGTCGCAGTCCTCCTGATCTGCGATCTCCTGGCGATACTCCAAGTAGTCCTCCTCGTCCTCGAAGGGGTCGTGGTCTTGGATGTCCATGGCGCTGCGTCCTGCTGGTGGGGGAGGGGCAGATCCAGCTGCACGACGACGAACGGTCTGGCCGAACTCGAGGCTGTCCTGCTGCCCCTCGATGTGCTGGTGGTACCCGTCGCTATTCTCCTGATATGCGATCTCCTGGCGGTATTCCAAGTAGTCCTCCTCATCCTCGAAGGGGTCGTGATCTTGGATGTCCATGGTGCTGCGTCCTGCTGGTGGGGGAAGGGCACCCCTCTGCATCCCTTCTGTGCAGCTGTCTGCGCTGCTGTGGGTTGGTCCCACGTCGAGGTCTGGGACGCGTCCCGTGGCGGCCCTGCGCTCCAAGTCGTCTCTCATGGCCACGTAGTCTTCCCGCTCCCGCTGGTACTGGTCATCATTCCAGAGGTCTGGTGGGGGCAGGCCCATATCACGTGGCTCCTCTGGCTCTGGGCCTGGCGGCGCTTGGTTCTGACTCCCCAGGTGACCGGTTCCCTCTGCCTCCAGAGCGCCAGCTGGCTGAGGAGGTGAGCAGTGCGTGTCACCTGGGGCAGTATTACCAGATCCAGCTGCATGGCGACGAACGGTCTGGCCGTAATCGATGCTGTCCTGCTGCCCTTCGATGTGCTGGTGGTACCCGTCGCAGTCCTCCTGATCTGCGATCTCCTGGCGATGCTCCAAGTAGTCCTCCTCATCCTCGAAGGGGTCGCGGTCTTGGATGTCCATGGTGCTGCGTCCTGCTGGTGGGGGAGGGGCAGATCCAGCTGCACGACGACGAACGGTCTGGCCGAACTCGAGGCTGTCCTGCTGCCCCTCGATCTGCTGGTGGTACCCGTCGCTGTTCTCCTGATCTGCGATCTCCTGGCGGTACTCCAAGTAGTCCTCCTCATCCTCGAAGGGGTCGTGATCTTGGATGTCCATGGTGCTGCGTCCTGCTGGTGGGGGAAGGGCACCCCTCTGCATCCCTTCTGTGCAGCTGTCTGCGCTGCTGTGGGTTGGTCCCACGTCGAGGTCTGGGACGCGTCCCGTGGCGGCGCACTTGGGGGACGGGAACCCCTGACCCATCTCAGAGCAGGGGCCAGCTGCCTTCCCATGGTCAGCTGCGCTCGCCTGTGTGGGGGATGGGTACCCCGAGAAGAGTGAGGGGGGGCCTACCTCTTTCTCTAGGCCGGGCCGCCTCGCCCTCATCTCTTGGAAAGCTGTACCCGTCTCAGAGGTCCAGGACGCGTCCTTTGGCGGCGATGCTGGGCTGAGGCAGGGACGCTCTGGGCTCTCTTGGGCTGGCCCCTCTGTGAGCTCCTGGACCTCAGCCTGAGGGGGGGGGCCTCCTCAAGTGCTGGCTGATTCGCGATGTCCTTGGTGCTGCTGCCGCCGCCTCCAGCTGCGCCTCCACTGCCTGCACGCCGCTGCTGCAGCTCGGGGGGGCCCTCGCCCCGCTCGGTGGGGGCGCGATCCACCGAGCTTCCTCCCGAGCTCTTCGATGGGCTCATGGCTGGTGCGGGAACCCCGCCATCGTGGCCTACCTGGCTGTCAGACATGACGGGGCCAAGCTCAGGCGCCGACGGGCCCTGTCCACCACCTGAGTCCTCATCGGGAAGTGCCTGGGTCTTGCCCTGGCGACTTGCTGCTGCCTCCTTCGCTCGGGCATCATGGTGCGAGAGCTGCCGCACCAAGGAGGAGATCTCCGCCCACCACGCGTGGATCTTCCTCTCGACCCCTGCCCATGGCGTAGAGGTGACGGTGTCCTTGATGCTCACGCTCTTGTAGATCGGGGGCCGGCTGTGCCCGAGATGTCGTCCACGCTCTTCCTCCTGGGATGCCGATGCTCTCGCGCAGGCTGAGCTCGAGGGCGCCTGCGAAACGGTCGTACTGCTGGCCCAGGTCCAGCATGTCCCGCTCCATCATCTTGCCGACGACTGTGTGCTGCAAGTGCTGGGGCAACTCGTCGTAGGCGCGCGCGCTGACCCGCTCGGAGGTGGCCTGCCACAGCTCGTCAGGGATGACGTGCTGGACCTCCTTGTCGTAGTACAGCTGCGGCACTGGCTCCATGTCGTTCTCGTCCTGGTCGCATCCTGCCTCTGCCAACGCTTGCTGACGTCGGCGCATGGCCTCCTGGCCTCCGCGCGCCGCTCGTCTGCAAGCGGCTCTGGACTTCGGTATTTTCTCGATTGTGACTGGCAGCTTTATGGCTGCTGGCCTGCGAAGTACCCTGCCCTTGAGCATGAGAGGTCGCCCCTTCAGCTTCAAGCGGATACCGATGTGCGGCTTCCACGGCACGGTCCTGAGCAGCTCCAGCTGGTCGAAGTATGGCGCCAAGCCCTGCGAGATCAGCGCGAAGTCGATGCACCTGGCTTCACCTTCTGCTGGGAAACATGTGGGGGCGCCATCCTCCGCCGCTGCTACCTGAGCATTCAGCACCCTGGGCCAAATGCTGCTGTTGAACTCCGACGGCGCCATGTTGAAGTCCCCAAGCGCTGCCCAGGGCCCTCCCCAGACGGCCATCTTCTCCCGCAGGTCGCAGAGGATGTCGACGTTCCGCTCTCCAAAGCCCGTCCCACACTCAAGGTAGACGAAAGCCACTGCGAAACGAACCTTGTGCAGGTTGGAGATCGCCACCGTGACGTCACTGCCGTCCTCGTGCAGGTAGTGCTCATCAAAACCCGCGATCCTGTCCTGGATGTCCAAGGATCCTCGCGCGATGGCACACGTGCCTCCTCGTGTGCCTTCTCCTTCTCCTGGCCGTGCCTTGGTCCACTAGCTGTGCATGCCATTCCGCCTGAGCGCCGCTCTTGCCTTGCTTATCTGCGCAGGCTGGCGGAGGTGGTGCTCTGCGATGCCGATGATGTCCCTGTCCTTAGTGTTGTTGATCTCCATGAGGTAGCCCTGTGCCTGGGGGCCCCAGGTCGTGACGTTGAAGAAGTCGATGTGGCAAGGGCGGCGAGCCTTCTTCGCGCTCGCCTTGGGGCGGCTACCCTGCTGAGTGGTCACCTTGCCCTTCTGCGTCGACGACTGTCTCGGCGCGCCTAGCCTGCGAGACCTTCTCTCGCGCCTCCTGGATGTGGGCCTCCACTCTGGCTCGGCGTTCTTCTGCTTTGTCAGGTTCTGCTGCGGCTGCTTCTGGTTGGGCAGCTGCTGCGGCGCCGGTGGGCGCAGCCGCGGCGGCTGTCCCTGTTGCCTCAGTGCCAGTGGTGGCACCTCGCTGAGGAGCTGGGCTGGCGGCGCAGACTCGCTTGCCTGGTGGAGCTTCTGCTGCTGCTGGGTCTTGCACTCCGCTCTTTGACAGGCGCTTGGTGCGAGCCTGCTCGAGCTGGCGCAGCTGCTCCTGGTGCCTGGCCGTCTCTTCCTCCAGTAGTCGCAGGTGCTTTGCCGTCTCCTCCTCGTGCTCCTTGACCGTCTGGGCCATGCGCTCGCCCTTGGCCTTCGCTGCTCGCCAGACCTCCTTGTCGGGCTCGGACCACTTGTGGAAGTCGTCAGGCTCATGCTCGAACTGCTCCAGGAGGGCTGCCAGAGTTGGCTTCTCGGCTGCAGGTTCAGCTGGGGCCTCTTGCTTGCCGACTGTGGCCTTGAGCTTGTCGAACTCTTCTTCGGCTGCAATGGAGGCTTCCATGGCTTCACGAAGCTTG